AATTTTTAAAAATTATAGTTTAATTTCAAATCATAACTCTAATTTCCCATTTTAACATTATTTCAACTTTTTTTTTTTTAGTTATGGATCAGGTAGCTACTACGGAACTCTCTCAGGACCGGTTGAAGCTCTGAGTCCTCTGACAGCTGTCCCAAAAGCCCATCAATCACCAAGGCGCAACATCATCACCTCACCGCCAAAGAGAGGCAGTGGTTACAGGTTTATGGCAAGAGCTCATTGAAACACACCAGTTCACTGTGCACTGAGACATTGGGTCATTATTCAGCTCCATTCTTAATACTTGATAACCACATATCTACCAAATGTTTCTCTAAACCAGCGATTCTCAACTATTTTCTGTCATGCACACCCCCTTGTGGTCAGAAATGTTTTGACACCCCCCTTTTCGACCCACAATCCGGCAAATTGGAATACTATTGAGAACCTCATAACATAACGTCTACTTTTATTTCTACAAACCACTGTATGAGTTGCTGCCACCTAGTGGCCACTATTTGAGAAAGTACTGCTCTATATAGACTTAATTTGTAAGGCTAACATTACATAAAAATTAAAAAAATATATTTTCTGGCAAAGTGAGTAGGTAAGCTATTGATTTTAACAGAGTGACACCCATAACTTTTGATGGTAATGTAGATTTCCTTCTCTCTACAGCTTCCCCAATGTAACTCTGTCTAACATGGAGATGTATGTCTCAGAACCATATGACCGTTCCAAAGAAATCAAAAAGGTAAACACTGAGGATCCATCTTGCCCCATATGGTATTTATCTTAATATCTATCAACCCCAAAAAAAATTGTTTATGTATACATATATATTATTATGGATGTCCGATATGAACTTTTTTGCCGATATCTGATATGTTGATATTGCCCAAACACTTGATTTCCGATTCAGATAACAACCGATAACGTTATATATGCAGCCGTTTGCGTTGAAGGCAGAGGACACATTTCATTGTGTGCAGTGCCGTGCTGCGTCACAGTGACGATACTGTGCACAATTAAAGTTTCATTACATATATTATATAATGAAGCTAATAAGCCGGTAATATTGGTTGGCCGATACTATCATACATCCGTATGTAGACTTTGTTATTAGAAAAACTATTTGTTTTACCTCATTTAATGACCTATACTTCTTTGAGTATTTCTGTTTGTAGTTTGACAATTATTATTGTGCTGTTACTGCGTGGGAATCAAATTTGTCAATGTTTAAGGTCATTTTCAAAAGTCAGTTTCAAAATTAGAGTTTGTTCATCTGACTTCGTAGAAGGAGGCAGCAGTACATCGTTCTAAGTTTAGAGGTGGTCCCTTCAAGGTCAACCTTCATCCTGGAGACTTTTTCCAAGCCAATCCATACCACAGTGACAAGCCCGTGACGGGACCACCCAAGCCCCGCCCACATACACAGGGAGTGCCCGTTCCTTTCAAGCCGTCCTCCCCCAGCAAAATGGTAAAAAAAAAAAAAAAATTAAGTGTATATGTTAATCGTAAAAATTTGGAACATCACCTGCTTCTTCTGCTCTCTTCTTGATTCGTGTCTGTCCACCTTGGGTTAGCCCGGAGGAATGAAGGCGGGAACATTTGATGCTTATCCATCGCACTCCGCTGATCCATTTACTGTTCGCCGCTCTAAACCGACAAATCAAGGGCCAGTATTTTACCCACCTCCAGGTCCTAAGAGCACGCCGGTAAAAAGTATCATCACTGTCAATGTTAACAGGTACAAACACAATATTATCCTCACAGAGTCTTTCAATTATCAGGGAGAATTTTTTTTCAAAGGAAGATTACGAGATTAAATGTATGTATGTATTAAACGTATGCGAATCAAGTCAAAACACTACGAGAAACAAAGGTCGTAACCTTGCGAGGAACGTTGCTATGTTAATTGTGTCGCAATGACAAACGTGGAGAATCTTGTGCAGTTGTACTTTAATATTTGATTGACAAATAGAGGAGATACTTAATCGTCTTGCTCATCAGCCTCACATCGTAGTAGGCGTCAGAACATTGAAAAGGTATTTTGTACCAAAGACAGAACCACACCACACCTGGAAGACATTTGCAATTGCACGGATTCACCACCTTCTCTTCACCAATTCACCAAGATGAACAGCATTTATTAGATATGTTGATGATAATAAGTGGTTCGAATGTGGACGAGGCATGTGTTGACACAAATTTTTTTTATTTCTCATAAAATTATGACTTTTCTCTGTAATGTTACATTTTTTTCTTGGAATATTTTGACTCGAATCTCATCGTTTTTATTATTATTAATCTCAATGTGGCCCTAATATTCTCAAGTACTCCATTCCTTTTGAAGTAAACAAATAATTCCTACGAACCCGACATGTCACTAAAGTATAAAAACAGGGAACTTTCTTAGCTAATAGTCTTTTTTTTTTGCCTTTTCAGGAGCGTGCACTCTGCAAATTACACATCAAGCGTCCCGGCTGTGATAACATTCTGACTACGCTACCACACTGTTTTTATTGTGTGTGTGATTTTTATATGTTGAAAACTTCAAAATAGACAGGGGATAAATTATGCTGTGCTGATAAAATGTTTTGTCTTGTCCTTTTTTACTATTTGTTCCTCTTTTTTCCCTATATTTACTTCTCAAATAGTGGCGCTTCCTGGCTCTATAGTGAATTGTTATTGTTTTTCACATTTTTACACATTTTTATCGCATTAATGCGATTGTATTGTCAATGTAACGGCGTGTTGTTCGTGCAGAACAAGCCAAGTGGTATGTCTGCATTTTAAACGATCTTTGAACGCTTTTCCCAGAATGCACAGCGAACTCAACTATAAACCACATCGAGTTCCACACCTGTCTCGGATTATTAGTGATAAAAATGGAGTGTGTATCGTTGAATGTTCCGCTCGTAAGTTATGGTAAGTAACTCGATGCTTTGACTTAGCCTAATTTATTATTCACCGTTTTTCGACAGTAACGGTAGCACTGCTAGCCTCGTTGTACGTATTTAAGCCGTTTAAAACAAATTTGTGGGAAATAATTTGTCAGTTGGGCACTTGTTACAGCTCAAATGACAACTACTGAATCAACCTGCATTAAAAACAAAAAACCCAGGATGTGCCAACCGAATTTTCTCTGCTATCCAGCGCTCAGTGCTTGGCTCAGTCCACCTAAGATGTCAGGTATTCTAAACATGGATTTACACAATATAGTAATGCCACATTATTTGAACCCAATCACGAACTTCCCTGCCAGAGATTATTTATCTGCTGGGGTTACTCAGAATTGGGAGAAAAGGCCAGGACTTGGCACAGGTTATAGTAAAATTGGTTACTATAATCTGACTAAAGACCTGGAACAGGCTTTGTAATGTAATTGCTTGTTTTACCTTTTTACACCATGCTTTGTTTTAATAGTATTTTGTCACTTTCTTTTGTAGTTAACCCTCTGCTGTCAAATCTGAGTGGATGAAAACTAACTGCACTACGATGACTGTTTTTTGCTTGGATTCTGAGTGGTGATTGGTAAGTTAATATCTGAACACATGTATTTTTGTACAAATGATTAAATAAAATTGTATGTTGCAGTACCTTGTTGCACAGTTTGGTGCTTTGTCTCAATCAGAATGAAAGTTATTTAACCAACCCTCTACAGTTTTAAAAAGTTTAATTTTAATTTAGTACAGGGCCGCACATTAACATAGTGATGCTACGTAGCTACGATGATTTTTCTTCAGAATTGTTTCTGGTTATGTCTGTGTAACGACGTGTCTGACATTATCTGCTGTGATCCGTGTCATTTCCAACCAACCATTTTGTTTTTCTGCAGGGTCTGGTGAGATTTTGGGTGCAGAAACCATCTGGAACAGACCTCCCAAGATGTCAGGTATTTTACGTGGATTTACAATATAGTAATGCCACATTTGAACCCAATCATGTACTTCCCTGCCAGAGATTACTTATCTGCTGGGGATACTGAGTATTGGGAGAAAAGGCCAGGACTTGGCACAGGTTATAGTAAAAATGGTTACTATAATCTGACTAAAGACCTGGAACAGGCTTTGTAATGTAATTTCCTTTTTTACCTTGTTTATATCATGCTATGCTGTATTAATAGTATCTTGTCACTTTCTTGTGTAGTTGACCCTCTGCTGTCAAATCTGAGTGGATGAAATCTTACCTGCACTACGATAACTGTTCTGTTTTGCTCGGTTTGTACAAGTGGTGATTGGTAAGTTTATTTTATTTTATTTTTTTTAATAATATAATTTTTATTTTAATATCTGAATACATGTTTTTGTACAAATGATGAAATAAAATTGTATGATGCAGTACCTTGTTGCCCAGTTTGGTGCTTTTGGTGTCTTAATCAAAATGAAAGTTAACCAGCCCTCCAGTTTTTAAAGTTTAATTTTAATTTGTGCAATTTACCCATCAGTTAACTCGAAATGTTTGCTTTCACTATTTTTTTTATCACAGTTAACTCGAAATGTTTGCTTTCACTTTTTTTATCGCATAAATGCGATTGTATTGTCAGTGTAACGGCGTGTTGTTCGTACAGAACAAACCAAGTGGTATATCTGCATTTTGAACGATCTTTGAACGCTTTTCCCAGAATGCACAGCGAACACATACGTATATAAGCTACACCGACTTCCTCTCGGTCTCTCAGATTTTCGGATATGAAGATGGCATGTACGCCATTAAATTTGTCGCCTGTAAATTATGGTAAGTAACTAGAGGTTTTGACTTAGCCTTCTTTATCATTTCCTGTTTTTCGACAGTAACGGTAGCATTGCTAGCGTCGTTGGGCGTTTTTAAGCCATTTAAAATCATTTTTGTGGGAATTAATTCGTCAGCTGACCACGTGTTATCTAAAAACGATAACTACGGAATTAACCGGCAGTAAAACAAAAACCCAGACTTTTCAACTTTGCTTGAATACAGTCTTCCGTTTTTAAAGAGAAATGCAAACCAAATGTTGTCTGCTATCCAGCTCTCAGTCAGCTGACCAGGCTCAGCGTGCTTGGCCCAGTGTTACAGTGCTGGTAGACAAAGTCTCTGCTCTTGGTGTCAGTTCAGTAGGTTCTGTTTTAGAGTCTGCTGCTGCTGTGCCGTTGCAGAGCGTGGCTTAACGAGAGTGGCCTGTCCCGTTCTGCTGTCGGGATGAGCCTAGTACAGGGCCACACATTAACATAGTGAGGTTAGCTCCTGTTATCTCTTCAGAATTGTTTCTGGTTATCATGTCTGTATAACCACGTGTCTGACATTATCCGCTGTGATCAGTGTCGATTCCAACTTTCCAACCAACCATTTTGTTTTTCTGCAGGGTCTTGTGAGCTGTTTGGTGTCGAAACCATCTGCAACAGACCTCCCAAGATGCCAGGTATTTTACACGTGGATTTACACATTATAGTAATGCCACATTATTTGAACCCAATCATGTACTGCCCTGCCAGAGACCACTCATCTGCTGGGGAATCACAGTATTGGGAGAAAAGGCCAGGGCTTTGGCACAGGTTATAGTAAAAATTGGTTACTATACTCTGACTAAAGACCTGGAACAGGCTTTGTAGTGTAATTGCATGTTTTACCTTGTTTATATCATGCTTTGTATTAATAGTATTTTGGTACTTTTTTTTTGTGTGTGTGTAGTGGACCCTCTGCTGTCAAATCTGAGTGGGTGAAAACTACCTGCACTACGATAACGGTTCTGTTTTGGAGGGATTGTACAAGTGGTGATTGGTAAGTTTGGTTGTTGTTGGTTTAAAAAAAAAAAAAAAAAACTCTGAACACACATTTTTGTATAAATGTTGAAATGAAATAAAATTGAATGTTGCAGTACCTTGTTGCCCAGTTTGGTGCTTTTTTTTTTGTCTCAATCAGAATGAAACTGTTGTTTAACCAGCCATCCACAGTTTTAAAGAGTTTAATTTGTGCAATTTACACATCAGTTCACTTGATGTGTTTGCTTTCACTTTTAGGACACCCATTGTTTCATCAACTAGGGTTTCAGACCACTGTGTGGATTAGATTCTATTTTTTTAAATTGCATGTCGAACACTTGGGTGAAAAAATTCAGCTAAAATCTTATGAACCCTAATAAATTAGTCGGAAAAAGTAACTGAATTAGATGTGAAAAGTTTTTTACAAAGCAATGTGAATTCAAACTTAGACATCCTGTGAGTGCAGTTAGTGTCTTGTAGTTGTAGTATAAAGATACCTTTTTATAAAATGTCTAATGTCTAGTGTTTTTGTTAAAATAGTATAAAGATACCTTTTTATAAAATGATCAGTCAGTGTTTTTGTTAAAATTACAAGGTTTAAAAAAATAAATAAAAAATCACACCAAGCCAGTCAGAGAAAAGATTGTGGGAGTGAAGTTCAGTATTGGTTTAAAAAAAAAATATTAGCAGCTAACTAAAAATCCCCCACAGTTAGTTAGATCAGAACCTGGGCAAGTCATGGCTCGTGGGCCAGATGTGACTTGCTGGCCTTTCTATTCTGCCCTACCAAACACTGGTACAAGGTATGGTTAAGACTATCAACCCTTATTCGTGCTATTAGCGAATCGACTGTAGGGTCTGTTAACGCCACCAGAGGGCGACAGACATTAAATGTAGATCGAACTTTATTAATCCCTTGGGAGTTAACTTCGGTAAGTAATTTAATTAAATGTGCGTTTTATTAAATTATTTCGCCCGGCGTTCTACCTGAGCTACAACTTGTAGCTCTACCACTAGGGGAAACTCACCGGCGTTCTACCTGAGCTACAACTTGTCTGGCACTTCTTTAAATCTGACAAGTGTTGACGATTTGTGCTGCAACAAGCTGCCCCTTGGAGGCGCCAAGTATGTGTTTCCCCTGGGAATCGAACCCAATCTCTGCTCTCCGCTTGAAAGGCAGGCATGCAAACCGCTACTCTCCGTACCCACATGATAGTATGGGTTGTATTTTATTTTGTTTTTTTTTTTTTTTTTGTCGAAAAGTTGTTCATTATTAATTTTCAAAATAAAAGTTTCATAAAAATGCACTAATTTCTCTTATAATACGTGTTTTATTTTGTTAAAATTCAGAATATATATATATTGTAACGTCAACATTGACCAAAAGCAACATACTATACTAAAGATATAAGATAAAAAATATAATATATACATTTTTGGGAAACTTTTATTTGAATTTGAATGATGTTTCTAGCTTATTAAGACTAAGGGTTTGTAATAGGCCAAACATATCAGTGATTCTGCTATTAGTAGTAGTAGTAGAATATTTATGTATTTTCCATCCAATGATTTTTAAAAATATTTTGAAGTCGTACGAATAGGTGAAATGTGGACTTCAGTTAGGATTTACATATGAGTGGAAGTCAAGGGTCCTTAGAAGACTAGTGGCGCATCGTTGTGTTTGGGGGTGTGGATGGAGTGGAGGAGACCGGAGGAGCGGAGGAGGAAGAGAGAGGTGGAGTTTAGTGCCTGAACTTTCTTCACCTCCTTATAGTATGCGGTCAAATGTTCTGAGGAAAAAAAGGCATAGGCTGCTGTGAACAGCAAAGGTAAGAAGTGCGGTCGCAGCCGCAGCGTGAATGTTGACTCCACTGTGTGACTTTGCTCTCGCGAAGAAAACGCTTATTTGGCAGAAAAGCTGTGCAGACGGATGTTCGGATCACGAGTTGGAGATTGTGCTGTCAAGCCTCCGCTAACTGCTAAACTGCTACACTGAGACTGTTAACCGTGAGATTTGGTCGTTTTCGCAACTGTCAGTGAGTTTAGGACGGTTCATGAGCAAAAAAAAAAAAAAAAAGCATTTTTCTCCGGATCTTGTGAATGACTTTACTCCATGTTCCAGTAGCTTAGGCTGTGCTGGGGTTTTTTGTAAACACGCGACTGAGGTCTGTTAGTTAAAGGTATGATGTTGTAGAAGAAAAAAGAAAAAATCAAAGCAGCATAAGCAGAAGTGAGACTTTGAAAAAAATATATTATATATTTAGCAGTCACTATATTAAATTGAGCAGGTGTGGATGTAAATGTTCTGCTTCTTGGAACAGAAACCAAATGATTTCCGTTAACAAAAAATACAAAAATCGTAGAATGTTCATTTAAAAACACCTAATTTAAATTCGTTGCTGCATTATTCGACATTTATGAAAGCATTTTGAAGGATTTTTGTCGAAAGATTTTCGTCTTGGTACAATAAGGTTTGTGTGTGTATATATATGTATATATATATATGTATATATGTGTGTGTTTTTATATATATGTGTATATGTATATATGTGTATATATGTATATATAAGTATATATGTATATATGTGTATATATATGTGTGTGTATTTGTATATATATGTGTATATGTATATATGTGTATATATGTATATATGTGTATATATATGTGTGTGTATTTGTATATATATGTGTATATGTATATATGTGTATATATGTATATATAAGTATATATGTATATATGTGTATATATATGTGTGTGTATTTGTATATATATGTGTATATGTATATATGTGTATATATGTATATATAAGTATATATGTATATATGTGTATATATATGTGTGTGTATATATATATATTTGCTTCCATTTCCATCCAAAGCTCGATTTCCCAATCCCCTAAATCCATTTCTCAAACACGTTATGAGAAGCTAAAATGCAGAAGTAGACAAAGCCCGATGCCTGATGAAGACATTTGTGTTTCTGCAATCTCGTTACCAACACTAGTCTGCATGTCACTGACATGACAGAAATATTTAGAAGTCTGGCCTTTTTGAACACAAATGGCGTAATTTATGTTTTGTTTTGTTTTTTTTCAGATTTTTCGTAGTCGTATGTTAAACATTTTCCGAGCGTTGCTGAAAGTGGGAAAGAAAAAAGTAGGAAGGAAAATTGCACTAGCATTCTGCATACAATCACCTGATTATCAAAATAGATTAATCAAATGAGCTGCTCTGCTGCCATCTAGTGACCGGAAGTTTGTTTATTATTCAGACTGCTATACTAGAGTATGTACTGTACACTGAAAGGCACCGTCTTACAGCATCAACACATTAATGTAGTGTCACTTTGTAACTTTTTTTATACTAAATCTTGCCGATCTTGTGTGTATTCTACGCAGAGGTCAGCCGAGTAAAGACGTGGGCCTGTGCGATGGCACGATACCTGAAGTATTTCACCACTGTGGGTGATGAGCGTTCCGTTGAGTTGGAAGAGGAAGACCTGCATGTGGTGAGCGAGGAGCTGGGTCCGGCGACGGGTCAGTTTCCACAGAGTGTGACCTTCAGGGACTCTCTCAAAAGACTCTACAGCTCAGAGCACTTCCAGGTGTGTCAACTTTATCTCCTCCATTTTAACGTCTATTTATATCAGTCCTATAAAATGTAAAATAAAATAAAATAAAATAAAAATGCACATCACACTTATGTTAACTTCATGTTACCCCCCCTGCCCCCTTGAGGACAGATATGTTTTCACACACACCCCCCCAGTGAATTGAAATACTATTGAGAGCCTGATAACATGTATATTCTTATCTGTACAAACCGCTGTATGAGTTGCTGCCCCCTAGTGACTGGAGGCTTGTTATCGTTCAAGCATTACAGAAGTGGTACACTTATGTCTATATTTTACTGAATAGTGTACTGTACTGAATTAGACTCAGAGTTATATTAACAGAACAAACTACCTAAAGGTGCTTTTTCGCGACATCAACATTTAATGATATATCCTTCTGCAGTAGCCAAAAATGAATCTTCCGTTATCCAGATTTAATATAATTTTAATGTTACTTTTTTTTTTTTTTTTTGGAGTTACAAGCCTCGAGCGCCCTCTAGTGGCCGTCAGTGTGAAAATAACAAACATGCCAAGTAATTTATTTTAATATATAAGTCGCAAACCTAGCCGAAGGATAAATAAAAGTGTGACTTATAGTCCAGAAAATGCGATATATGTTTTTATGGCATGTTCTCCAAAAAAACAATCATACACAATTACAGCAATATTTTCTGTATCCGTCTGCATGTCAACTTCTACATTTTTTTCTACAAGACCATAATATAATGAAAACTTGTCGGACAGCCGTAATGATGGTAAACCGCTAGCCGGGATTGATAGTTCTGTTGTTGCCTTCAGGTGCTGGTGGTGTGTCTAGTAATCCTGGATGCCGTCTTTGTTTTGGCGGAGCTGCTGATAGACCTGGCAGTGATCCAGGTGGCACACGGTCACATTGCCCCCGAGGTGAGACACAGTGGAGCTGACAGTCATATTTCCATCCATAAGTAACGGAACTGACACGTCTTGTTGCTGCAGGTGTTCCACTATTTGAGCCTGGCTCTTCTCACCTTCTTCATGGTGGAGCTGGTCGGAAAGCTGTTTGCCTATCGCCTTGACTTCTTTCAGCACAAATTTGAGGTTTTCGACGGTTTGGTGGTCGTGGTGTCTTTTGTGCTAGACATCGTCTTCATTTTCCACGAGGATGCGTTCGACGGCATGGGTCTTCTTATCCTGCTGCGACTCTGGAGAGTGGCCAGAATCATCAATGGTCAGTAGTCGTGTGAAGCGACCACAATACAAATTTCCTTTGTGTTTAAGTATGAGCTGAGACAAAGCCTGACATAAAGTACATACTTGAAAAAAAATATGACCAAAAGTCTATTGGGTTCCAGCCCGGTAGCTCTATACTAGGGGTCCTCAACCCCTGGTTCGGGGACCTGTGCCGGTCCATAGGTCATTTGGTACTGGCCCGCAGTGGGACACAGTGAAAAAAATGTACTTCAGTTTGACTTAAATATACTTCATTCATTTACTGTTTTCGTTTAAAGATAATGTGGCCGTGTTTCAAAACAACAGGTCATTTAGACTTGGTACAAAAATGTTAGGGACCACTGCTCTAGACCTCAGTGCAATGTTAGGCTGACATTGAAGTGTGGTCATGATATTTGATATATATTTATATATTAAATATATAAATATATATAATATATATTTATATTTGATATATATGTATCAAATATATATATATATATATATTTGATACATGATATTTGGATGTATGGCAGGTATCCTGTTGTCAGTGAAGACGCGCGCGGACCAGAAAATCCACAAGTTGAAGATCAGCTACGACCACCTCGTCCAGAGAGCCACGGAGCAACAGGAGCGCATCGATCAACTGGTGATTCTACGTACAGTACATGACATCACAGCAACTTTAATGCATCTGCAGAACAGTCAATTGCGTAAGTACTAACTCGCCATTTTTTTGGGGGGGGGGTCTCCATCCGTAGGAACAAGAGAGAGAGAAGCTTCACACACTCCTGAAGAAGAACGGCATAGAGTTTTAACTCTTGTATCTTTCTTTTGTTTATTTTGTTGTTATGATGCACCTTATGCACACGGACTATCTTTTTATTTCCACCACACGCGTGTCATTAATTCCATTGCAGATTCAGTATTAGTGTCACTCAATAGTCGGTTACCGTAGCAACTTACGCTTGCTCTCCAGCACAAGCTGCAGGGGCCAAAGGGCAGCAGTGTTTAACATTTTCAATTGAATTTCATGTCTATACTTATAAACCAGGCATGGGCAAACTAAGGCCCGGGGGGCCGGATGCGGCCCGTTCAGCTTTTTAATCCGGCCCGCCAAAATGTTTTCAAATTATATAATTTATTTATATTATCATTATACTTTTCGTTTTCCCTGCAATACCCACATTTCCCCAATAGATGGCAAAAAAAAATGATAGAAGCATTTGAGCATTTATGCAAGACATGTCATTTATCTTAGTGACCCCGGCCGCCCTGTTCAATTGTTAGGACAATTGTGGCCCGTGGGTCAAAAAGTCAAAAACTGTATGTCACAACTGTAGGACTGCTCAATCTAAAACCTTCTTTACACAACGAACAGGAACTCATGTCTGTTTTGCTGGTGACTGACAATCACACAGAGGAGAGAACGAAAGGCTGTGAACAGCTTAAGAAAGAAACATGGACCAATCAGGAGCAGCAGACCAGCAGGAGTACCTTAAAAAGTGTATTAATTTATTCAAAATACATTAAAGAATCTAATATCATATGTACATTGTTAACGTTTACACAAAGACGCGTTGTCACGTGTTGCAGTTCACTGACGAATTCAGACGAAAGGGAAGAAAAAGTCAAACGGCAGTTTGGCATTGAAGGTGGGCGTGGCTCTGTAACCGGGAACGGCATTGGCCGACACATGAACGAAGGTCACCGAGGTTGTGATTGACAAGGTGCCGCTTCCGCCTGATATCAGAGTCTGCGGGGGGGGACGGACAAGCAATAAGAGAGTTGAATAGTATACAAAAAA